TGACTTATATATATAAGGAGGATTTTATTTAATAACCCATACCCTTATTCCAAAATAGGTAGGACTTTAGCAACTTGTGCTATTCCAAACCTAGTATGACACCATCTCATACCAGTGCATACATTTCCATCCATCAAACAGTTGATAAGGCATTGACAATTAAATAACGATATCAACAATTCCATACTAAGCATTTTAGAATACATTATCACATATGCTTAAATAAATCCAGCAGTTAATGGAGCATTGACAACATAAATATCAATTTCAACCATTCCATGATAAGCATGAGAACATAATAAATATAATATTTACATGCTTATATAACACCGTTATATAGAAACCATCTCATCGAAACACATCACAGGAACTAATACTTGACCCCGTGAAGTTGTGTTTGTAAATATAAATTTACTTCCCAGTATTCATAATTAACAGAGCCTAAATAAATATTAGGTTACTTAGTTCCTTAACCAGTATAATAAATTTAGGCAATTTATCATACCTTTAACCTCTTGTTCAACAAAATGATGCATTAAATTTTACAATTTGACCATCAATTAATCTTTAGCAAACTATAGATTTCTAGCATGTATTTTCATTCCACGAATATGTAATTAGCAATGGACAAGCTCTCACATAAATTCTTATTATAATTAAGAAATATAAATGCCCGAAAACAAATAGGTCTGCAAAGCACATAAGAAAATCCATATAATTTTAACGATTAAAACTCGGTATTTAAATCTGTATTATTCAATCCCTTGGAACTTTAATCCCACTCCAGACCATTGTTAAACCATCCATTACAGTGTTTAATTCTCTTAGAACACTTAGAAATTCCATAACCAAGCACCTGTCTCATTGAAAACCAAAGAAAACCAACAGAACGTAGAAAACTGAGAAAAACAAAAATGGAGCAGGCTCCAAAAACATGGAGCCGCCTTCATTGGCCTTGGAGCCGGCTCCAAAGGTGTTGGAGCCTCCTCCAAACCAAGAAGAGCCGGCTCCAATCCAAAGAGGAGCCGGCTCTCTCCCTCCTCTGCCTCGTTTTCTTCTTCAGTCGTCGTCTACACCTCTGGCACTTCACAGTTTAGGTTCCCAGAGATTTTAACTTAGTCCCAGTAGATTCCAACCCCTGTTTTAGTCCTTATTACAATTACTAACAGGGATTCAAATAGAAAATAATGCAAGAAAGTTTACAATTTAACCAGTTAAACAAGTATAACACGCACTGCTACAATTTAAATTTTAAAGATGTAAACAGACAACGTTTTTGTTTTAAAATATGTAACTCATTCCTGGAACTATTTACGTATGCAAAGAACATGAAGCCTAAGGGAGAGAGTTAAGACAGAACTTGCCGTACACCGACGTTCGTCTCAAATTTCCGGCGAATCCTCCGTTTGCTCTCTGTTCTTTCCCAACCGTCTCCAAAATTTCTCTCAACCTTACAATGTCGTAAGTTTATTCTAAAAACCCTAGGTAAACAACTTAGGTGAATATTTATAGGCCACACTAATCCTAGGCTCCCTTAAACCCTAATTGAAATTACTCGGCCCATAGAAAACTACGTTAAATTCAAGTCGACTAACCTATATACAACCAATCCTACAGTCACGATAAAACTGATTAAAGATAATTAAAACATAACATTGAAGCAATAATTAAAACAACAAAGTACCACAAAATAATTAAATAATTAATACAATTAAATTAATAAGTAAAATAGTAACGCAATTAAACAAATTAACGACAACTAAATCAATAATTAAAACAAGTACATAAAGTAACAACCATCAAAGCAATTAAACAATTATTCATTTAAAAATTGCAATTACTAATTAATGAAAATTCCAGGACTATCCTTTGTAAAATTAGGGGTATTACATTTGTGATACCCTTCTGATCCGAGACACCGGTTGATCAGGCTCAGGCCCAAACCCGAGGGATATCGAACAATTAATATTTATAACGAACACAGATTTCATAATGAAATAAGAATTAAAATTTTAAGAGCTAAAAGAAACTAAAATATAAAATCGTTTAATATTAAATATACTTAAATCCCAATAATCCAAAACCTCCATAAGTTAAACAACTCGGGAATCCATCTCCAGTAGACCCCTAATAAAAATCCCAGCTTCTATAGCCCGAGCAACGAGGTTATTGAAGTGCAGATGCCTACCCATGTAAATGTGGATGAATTAGACTACATTTGGTTACTAAAGAAAAACATATAATCATTTAATATATCTAATTCATCCACATTTACATGGGTAGGCATCTGTTCGATGATGTATATGCATATGCAAGTCAGAAATTATATTCGATCAGATTTGAGGTTCTAATTGTTTCATTTACTAGTTATTTAATTCTAGAGATTTGTCTTGTTGAAATGATAAGCTCTTGTTGAATATTAATTATGTTTACCTTCAGAACTTATTACTAAGTTGTAGTATGCTTAGTAATTGTAGTTTGCTTAATGGTGACTTGATTTCGTTGCATTATAATGTCATTATAGTGTGTAATGCATCGCACATTGAAGATTCAATATTGTATATATTTGTATGTGTAACGAATCACACATTGAAGATTCGATATGGTGTATGCCATTGTAGTCTTGAATCCTTAGGACATGGTTTGTGTGGTTTCACCCTACTTGTGCTTGGTAGGTAGTTCATGTATTGTTGTTGAATATATGTCTTGAACTTGTTGATTTTGGAAATTTTGTAAGGACTTGAAAAATGATACGGCTAGGGCTTGGTCCTAGTACGAGAGATACGAGTTCTCCCTACATCATTAGAGTGCGCATTAGATGGTACCTTGTGGGTCGTAATTACCTGAAAATACTTACTTGGTCTAGCAACCACATGTCCTAGTCTTTCCTACTACTTGATTTTGCATTTAATTTCTAAGCTGTTAATCATTGATTACTTGTAACTTGTGATTTGATGCTTGCGTTTTCAATTATATTTAGTATACTTGCGCCTTATATACTTGTCTTGTGTGTATTTAAATTTTGCTTAGTATACTTGTACCTTGTATACTTGCTTCATGTGTTTTTCTACTCCATTTAGTATACTTGTACCTTATATACTCACTTCGTGTGTTTTTCTACTCCGTTTAGTATACTTGTACCTTATATATTTGCTTTGGGTATATTTAAATTTCATTTAGCATGCTTGTACCTTGTATGCTTGCTTGTTGTGTATTTCATTTCAACCGCTTATGTATTTTAAGATGATCCCTCAGTTCACCTTGGAACATTGATGTTAGGTGGCATGAACCACATGGATCGATTTATATCAATTTGCAAAACTTGTAAAACTTTAGTTTATACGCATGTTCATTTCCTACGAGTAACTTGTTTACTCAACCTAATGGTTTGGGTTATTTTTCAGGTAAGGAAAAGTTATTTTGGGATGCACAACATCCCTAGGTTGCTATGATAGCTTGGAGAATTTTGGGGCATTGTATTCATGCACTTGTTAGCATGTTTTGCTTCATTTTAGTTTTATATGCCAAAACTTGTATCTTTTGTTCTAAATATATAATGTGCACTTAAGTGCACCTTTTGAGACATATTTGATATGTATGTAATGAGGCCAAGGGCCATTTACCTTTAAATTTACTTTTATGTCATTTGGATTTCATGTTTAATTATGAAAATGATGTAATTCGGAGGTTTGATATATGATATTTTGCATATGACATGTATTAAGGCCGTAGGCCATTAGAATACGCTTAAATATGCATATTACGTTTGCATGCATGGTGGCACCCAATTCTGTGTAAAAAAACCATTTTACCCCTAGCCAAGTAGGCTTTCCATTTTAAAGACTTAGCTTCCGCAATTGTTTCCTTTGGGTCTCATGGCTTATCGGGAAGTCACTTTAGTGTCTTAAAGATGATATTAATCCCTAGAGACCCTTTCTCTTTTCTTGCTTCCACATTTAGGATCCGTTATCGAGTCATCTTTCGGGTCATTACTGACGCATCGGATTTGTAAAACTTGTGCCGTCACATAGGCACTATTTGTCCAAAGAAACAAAATTTGATTTGGGCCAAAAATAAATTATTATTATTATTTTTGTTTTTTTTCCTTAAAAATTGATTTTTAAAAACACTTTTCACTTTAAATTTTGAATTTCTGCCACAACCAGTACGCCATTAAAGCACTATTTGAAAGGTTGTGTTGTGTTAAACTCTAGATTCAGGTATCCCATTCATTCTCTCTCTCTCTCTCTCTCTCTCTCTCTCTCCATATATATATATTTTTATTACATTGAGTTTCATTTATATTCTTATGATGATGTTATAGAGTTTGCAAAATAAATCCGATATTCAATGCTTTTAATTTAATATTCCAATATTCAAGATTGGTAATCTAATGTAATCTGTTTTACAAAAAATAAAAAATAAATTTCATTACTTTGTTTCATATGTAATGTTTAAAGTTTAAACCCATTAAAATGATCTAAACACATTATTTTTAGATTCCCATCCATTTTCCACAGAAGTAAATCCTAATAGACTACTTCTTTGAAATTATTGTGTATATATATATATATTATATTTTTTCTTTCATTACTTTGTTCCATATTTGATATTTAAAGAATTAGTTTCAAATTTCTATTAATACCGGAAGTCAATTGCATGTATGTTCCTTTTCAATGCAGTTACTGGTTCATATTTTCAACAAAATATTTTAAGATTTTAAGGCACTCAATTCCTCTTTTTTATTCATTATATCCAAAACAATTAATTCTTGATTCAGAATTCAACACACTTAATTATATATGTAAGTAAATACACTTATTATCAAAAGTCAAAACGGTAGAGTAAACACACTTTATTCAAGGCATTTAATTATAGAAATGAAGCACGCTTTTATCCATAATTAATTAGCTATAACTGCAACAGGATGATCTCCATATGGGTTTAGTTCTGTTTGTTAACTGCACCTGGAGCAGGAGCAGGAGAAATTCCCTTTGGGTTTAATACTTTAATGGATCTGCATTGTTAGCTGCTTCAACATTATTCGACTTCTTAGCATTAGAAAAATCTGTCCCTGTAGCTTCATTTTTAGCTGCTTCAATATTATTTGATTTCTTAGCATTAGAAAAATCTGTCCCTGTAGCTTCATTTTTAGCTGCTTCAACATTATTCGACTTCATAGCATTAGAAAAATCTGTCCCAGCTTCATTTTTAGCTGCTTCAACATTATTCGACTTCAGAGCATTAGAAAAATCTGTCCCTGTAGCTTCATTTTTAGCTGCTTCAACATTATTCGACTTCATAGCATTAGAAAAATCTGTCCCAGCTTCATTTTTAGCTGCTTCAACATTATTGGACTTCTTAGCATTAGAAAAATCTGTCCCAGCTTCATTTTTAGCTGCTTCAACATTATTGGACTTCATAGCATTAGAAAAATCTATTCCAGCTTCATTTTTAGCTGCTTCAACATTATTTGACTTCTTAGCATTAGAAAAATCTGTCCCAGCTTCATTTTTAGCTGCTTCAACATTATTGGACTTCTTAGCATTAGAAAAATCTGTTCCAGCTTCATTTTTAGCTGCTTCAACATTATTCGACTTCTTAGCATTAGAAAAATCTGTCCCAGCTTCATTTTTGGCTGCTTCAACATTATTGGACTTCTTAGCATTAGAAAAATCTGTCCCAGCTTCATTTTTGGCTGCTTCAACATTATTCGACTTTTTAACATTAGAAAAATCTGTCCCTTTCTCTTCATCAGCATCAGGGGCTTCTCCACCATCACCAGCACTTTTGTGTGCATACCCATGAAGAAGTAAGAGAGAGAGAACAAAGAGAAGAATGGGGACCCTGTATAAGACCGCCATTAAAGATTAATCTTTTATTGAAGGCTTGATTAATCTTTTATTGGAGGCTATTGTCAAAACCACTCTTTTTTTTTTTGTCTCCTACCTCTTTCTCTAGCTATTTATACTTGCAATAAGGTGCTTACTGGGCCTGCCAACAATGCCTAAATAAAGAAAATGCTCCTAAATTAATGTATGTTCTCCACAAGACAGGCCAAAAGAATAGTATGTTAATGACGAGTATGGATGGTTGAGTTCTTACCGGGTGACAGCAATGCCTAAATAAAGAAAATATGCCTAAATATATGTACTCTTGAATACATTCCAAATTAACTATGTTACTACTAGTATGGTCGAAATTGCTACGTATTGCAAAGTCATTTGTCTCATGCATACTATGCTAATACAAATATGGTTGGATAATTATCTAATCATATTATGTAATTGGATTTGAATTCTTTCTCAGCTTTCCCTATTGAATTTCTACTAGGTGATGGATTATCTGGCATTGGAAAATGATTTGTAAATAGAAAAAAGCGAGAAAAAAAAAAAAAAAAAAAAAAAAAAAAAAAAAAAAAGAAGAAGAAGAAGAAATACATAACCAAATGTTAGTTGTTTGATGCATAAATGTGGGATGTGTGGTGAATTGTTGAAACTATCTAGACAAAGATCAGGTCAACTTACTGTTCGATTGCCAACCATCTCCATAGAAATTTTTTCAATTCTAATTTTAAAACAAGTTGGGCATAATTCCTTAATCGAATGTTTTTAATTGATCAATGTATACATCAAAAGAAAAAGAAGAAATTTTTTTTTGATCAATGTATAATAAGTTCAAGAAAATGGGACATTCCACTTCTTTATCTCTTGCATTAATGGCCAATTAGGTCAAAGAATTTTACCTAATTCTTTCGTCCGAATATCAATATTCAATTTTATTAACAATGCAGAATAACTCAAGTCATTGACTTCACTAACTTAAGTCTCAACCCTGGTTAACTTTAACCCCAAGTCTCATCCCTCTCTCGATAGACTCTCTTGTAGGAGTATTAATATTGTATTGTCTAACCTTTACTGACATTAACTAGGGTTTCTAGCTAATTGGTTGGTTAGCTACATTGATTTAGTGGTGAACTCAACTTCACCTACCTAATTGGTTGGTTAGCTACATTGATTTAGTGGTGAACTCAACTTCACCTACCCCTTCCCGAGCTCCCCCCCCCCCCCCCCCCCCCCGCAGTCTCTGTCTGAAACACTCTCTCTTTCGGGCCAATTCCACTGAACCCTCTCGTCTCATATGTTTGTGTTGAAACTAGGGTTGACAATTTGTGTTCGCATGCTATAATCATGTCGTGTCAACTTAAGACTATTCTACTGAAGATGTCAACACTAACCCGACCCATTCAATAATCGTGTCAGGAACCCTTAATACTAACCCAATCTTTTTATTAAACGTGTTAGACGTATTAACATGTTTAATGACCTATTTACCAAAACCGAACAATATATTATTTAGATTATTTATAATATTCAATCAAATAATAAATACTATAAAAAAATATACATTAATTAAAGAGCTAATGTATATTTTTGTTTGGGCTTATGTTAAAATGACCTAATTATTTGTAGTAATTGGGTCTAAACAGGTAATGAGTTACATGAGTGATATTAATACCATTATGAAACTCTTAGTTAAACGGGTCTAAACAGGTTACACATGTTGAACCCCTCAACCATAACACGACACTATTAATTAAACGGGTTAATCGTGTCGACTCGTTTATGATCCAAACCCATTTAAGGTAAACCCAAACTCGTTTATTTCGTGTCATGTTCGAGTTATGTTGACAAATCGTGTCAAATTTTGTCACTCTTATTTGAAACTCACATTTTTTAGTAGATGGCAATACTATCACAACAAGGACATGAACCATTGAACATGACTTTAACATGACACAAATAGAATTAAATTTGATTTAATAGTGTTAGGACTAGTCGTGCTTTATTTGCTAATTCGATTAGGGTATATTTAACTAAATGTGTTAGAACAAATAACATATTACTACAGAGTGTATGTATATCTATATATATATATATATATATATATATATGTATATTATATTTTATTAATTTGATCTGGCTCATCATCGATCATCCAAATTGATAATTTATAGTAGTTATAGTGAGATACCGAATTAGATCGAGAAGAAGTGTAAAGTTCTTACAAAATTCCTCACATGAAGTATTTGATCTCCAAAGGCTTCAGAGTAGGCGGGAATCAGAGGGAGTCCCAACTCCTAAGAGTTCAGCTACGTTTACATGCACAAATTAAGATGTTAAATTTTTTAGTATATATTACCACTCTTTTAGTTCACTTCAATTTTGTAAACGCGAGGGACATACTTTAATTAAAGTATTGGTCTCTCCAAATATTTGGATGAGTAGAGAATGAAACTAAAAGAATCTTACTTGGAAAAAAATAATAGTGAAGTGTAAAAAAAAATATTTCTCTATTTTGTAAGTGTTAATGATTAAAATATTACCAAATAAATTAATTTTGGTAGTGTTAAATGTTACAGCAAAAGAATAGGGAATAAATTGAGTAATCATCAACTTCTCTTTATTATTTAAAAATAAAATTCAATCTATTGCTTTATAGATGTTTGGTGATATATGATAACAATGAAAAACTATCCGATTAAGAACTTTGTGCAATTAATGAAATAGAGATAAGTAATTAGTAATGCACAAATGACACGGTACTCTTAAAATATTAGTGCAACAATAAAATTGTGAAAATATAATCAATGCACAAATAAAAAGAAAGGGATAGAAAAAATTAAATGTGAGATATAAAATTGTAATTTGACAAATCTCGTGATCAAAATGAGTCCGATCGAGTTATAAATTTTTAGTTTAATTTTCAAGATTCAAGATTAGAAGCAGAATTGAAGATTGATTGTGTTCATACTTTGATATACTCTGTGATGATAAGAACAATGCATTAGTAAGGTAAGTGAGTGTGTGAGGACACTCGCATGTTTTCGAGAGTAGGCATTTAGGAATTTTTTTCTAAGTATAGATTAATGTTTTCCAAATAGCCTCAGTGGAACCGGTTCTACCCCATGGAATCGGTTCCACTCTACATACCAAAAAGGAAATTTTCAATTTTAGTCTATTTTGACTTTCTCTTTTTAGATAGACTTTAGCCATAATGATCATGCACGAAATTGAATTGTTTTTCAAGCACAATTAAGTTTTCAAAAATCTATAAATATATGTTTTCCCATGGACCAAATGGTTTCAATGCATGCTTTTTTCAAACAACTTGGCCAATCATTGGTAGAACTGTTACCAAGGCAATCAAGAAATTCTTCATGAATGGAAAACTACTTAAACAAGTGAATGCATCAGACCTAGCTCTTGTACCTAAATGTCCTGACCCCCCTTCCATGAATGATTATAGACCCATCTCTTGCTGCAATCTTATATACAAGTGCATCTCTAAGCTACTCTCTAGCAAACTACAGTAAGTACTAAAACAACCTTTGTGAAGGGTAGGAAAATTGCATATAGTGTTATTCTAGCCCAAGAATTGCTTACAGGATATCACTCCCAGGTTACATCTCCAAAATGCACTATAATGGTTGACATCAAGAAAGCATTTGACACGGTGGGATGGGACTTCATCTTGGACTCACTTGTCTGCTATTTGGGTTTCCTAGTATCTATATACTATGGATTAAAACATGAATAACTTCACCATCTTTTTTTGTTTTTATCAGTATAGTGAGTTGCAGGGATTCTTTAGAGGAGCCAAAGGGTTAAAGCAGGGTGACCCTCTATCTCCATTCCTATTTGTGATTGCTATTGAAGTGTTCACCTTTATACTCAACTCTTCCATCTCCATACCCTAAAGCTTCAAATTTCTTGTCCTTGTAATTCCTTGATTTAGACTTAGAGCTATTTGAATTTGAGCAACAATTTTCTGTCCTCCCCCTTGCAGCTAAGACCATGGTCTCTCCGTCTCCGTTAATCTTTGACACTCTCCTCCAATTCTCATGAGAGATAAGTGTTGATTTGACCTCATCCAGGACTACAGTCTTCTTCCCATATAACTCACCAAGTGATCATATCTCGTGGGAAGAGACGCCAAGATAACCGAGACTTTGTCTTCGTCATCTATTTTTACCTCCATGTTTAATAGTTCCAAGAGAAGCCTATTAAACTCGTTAAGGTGGTCTTGCATTGAAGAACCCTCCTTCATACTAAAACGCAAAATAACTCTTTCTTGAGATTGATCCGATTTGTAAGCGACTTTTCCAAATATAGTTTTCAAGCTTATCTCAAATCTCCTTTGTTGATGTCTCTGTCATCACGTTATGCTTAATCTCCTTTAACAAACACAATCGGATCATAGATCAAGTTTCCATAGAAAGCTTTTCCCATTCGTCTTTCTTCATTGGATCAGGATTATCATCCAAGGTTTTTATCAAACCTTCCTTAAAAAGAATATCCTTCACCTCAACTTGCCACATCCAAAGTTATTCTTTCCATCAAATTTCTCAACTTCATATCTCATAGATTTGGAAGCCATCCCAAAAGACCCTAGTTTGCAACCTAGGCTCTGATACCACTTGTTGGGTACAACGGATTTGGAAGCCATCCCAAAAGACCCTAGTTTGCAACCTAGGCTCTGATACCACTTATTGGGTACAACGGAAGTTCTGATATCAATTTGTTGGGCAACAACGAAAACCTCTAACACCAATCTGTTGTGCAGAAGTGACCCAAACAATTATATACACAATGATGAAAAATCATAATAATAGCAAGATATGAATAAAGATGAAAAGAAACACACTATAAGACAAGATTTATATGTAGTTCACCCTCACAAATAGGGTTACGTCCACAAGAGATGATGATCATTTGTATCACTGTATAGAAGAAGATTATAAATTGCAGAATCCAGGCAATAATCACTCTTCTAACAACAAAACGTCATCCAATAAAAGAAA